CCAGGTGCCGTGAGAAATGTTCGGTTAGGAATCAAAAAGCTACTAAGTGTAACTATCAGGTATCGATGAGGAAAAATACATTTTTCGAAAAGTCACACCTTTCAATATTTAAGATAGTTGCGTTGTCTTATTTGTGCCTCCAACACACCACGCAGTCATTCATTATGAGTGAGTTAGAAATTAGCCGTCATACTATTGTTGATTGGTCAAATTTCTGTCGAGAAGTTATGTATGATGGACTAGTTGCTCATAAAGTTAAAATCGGTGGAGTGGGTGTTGAAGTGGAAATTGACGAAAGTAAATTTGGAAAGCGGAAATACCATAGGGGGCACGCAGTTGAAGGTCAGTGGGTATTTGGAGGTGTCGAGCGAGGGACCAATAAATGTTTTCTTGTCCCAGTGGAGAAAAGAGACAAAACGACATTACTCAACATTATAAAAGAGTGGATTTTACCAGGGACAACGATCATTTCTGACTGTTGGAAGGTAATTATTTAAAATTTAATAAATTTAATATTTTTTAAAATTTAATAAATTTAATATTTTTTAAAATTTAATAAATTTAATATTTTTTAATACTTAAATATATTAGGCATACGACTGTTTGAATGACGAGGGATATGTGCATTTTAAGGTTAATCATAGTATTAATTTTAAAGATCCCGAAACACAGCAGCATACAAATACGATTGAAGGCCTTTGGAGACATGCCAAATTTTCGCTACCTCAATATCATAGGAAGAAAGATTTTATAGGAGGATATCTCGCTAAACACATGTTTTTAAAACAAATTAAAAATAAAAATGACGCCTTAATAGAGTTTTTCAAATTAGCTGGACATTTGTACAACGCAAATGTTCCAATTAATGTTGAGCAAAACTCAAGTGATACAGATGATAATGAAGAAACAGATGAAGAAACTGATGATAATATTGTTTATTAAATATTTAACATTGTGTAAAAGTACAATATACAATAAAATAAAAAAATTGAATTTCAACTTTAAAATTATTGTCCCCGTAAAAAGAATTTAAATAGGTTATACACGCTCCGTGCGGCGGTAATGCATAGTGGTGTTGAGCGCATGCGTATAAACGTAAAATCGCAAACTTTGGAAGGCTATAACTTCCAAAATAATGGTTTCCGCACAAAAATTCAAACCGTTTCGAAATCAGCGTTGAAAAACACGTCTTTTAAAAAAAAAAAAATCGAAATTCGTGAGGGGCGTGGTAAAGTGCATTTGTTCCATATTTTCTTTTATATATGATTTTAATTGCATTAAGCAATGTACATTTAAAAATACGTTTAGCAAGGATAAATTTGACAAAATAAAAGTTAGTAGTAATGGACTCACGGATACTGCTTGGCAACTGTCAATGTAATGTCCAACTGAGCTGCTTGTTGCGGGTAGTCCGAAATGGTCCTGGTCAATGATAATTCTTTGGTGATGTTGGAACAATCGAACTTGTAGTAGAATTGAACACAGCGGTCGTACGTTTACTTAGACGATGTATTAACGGTCGTGCGAAATTAAACGGTTAAGTAGGTAAAACTATTGATTACTACCGTATCAATATGTTTACCGTGTGTTTACTTATACAAAATATGAAAATCGACGTTTCAACACTGTGAATCGATCGGAAATATTATCACGGTTTCAACTATGCAACGCTGTTTCTCGATCGGCGGTTCGGTATGCTCGGTCGAGACTGTAACGCAGTTTCTCGATCGGCGGTTCAAACACAATAACGTTTTTCTTGACCGGACTGTCTGTGCTTCCGTTGGTTACGGTAAACACCAGTGTCAAGAAAGAGCAGCGGCGGCGGAAAACAACGTTCGGCAACGGTGAAATACTAATCGGCGATTCTTGCCCGGTCTGTATGTGCTTTCGTTTGGTAACGATAAACACCAGCGGCAAGAGAGCGCGGCGGCGGAAAACAACGATCGGCAGCGGCGAAAATATATGAACGACTTTTCTTGCCCGGACTGTATGTGCTTCCGTTTGATAACGGTAAACACCAGCGGCAAGAAAGAGCGGCGGTTTAATGAACGACTTTTCTTGCCCGGACCGTATGTGCTTCCGTTTGATAACGGTAAACACCAGCGGCAAGAAAAAGCGGCGGTTTAACGAGGCAAGTCGCACTGTTTGTGCTTCCGTGAATACGGCAAACACCAGATACGACTGCTAGCGGAGAGAGTATATATTTTGCCGGTTCACCGGGGTCTATTTACCACATGTGATGACTACGGCTGGTTTTGAGATCATAGACTTCGGTGGGTAGCATTTTGTTGACCTTTGATGGTTCTACATCTGCGGGTGGTCTCGTGAATCAAAGGTGTGCATCCGGGGACATTTTCTTACTAGTAGTGGGACGAAACTTACTTGTAAGTTTCGTTTTTTCATCCGTAAATGTCGCTGATACGCGTCGTTCAAAACGGTAGGCGAGTACCGCGACATCTAGTGTGTCTTACTTGCGCCTGCTGCGTACGAAACTGTGTGTGATAGTTCCGGCGTGGTCTGCGGGCGGCGCGTCGATAGCGTGTCCATACGCTATTATGAGAAAAATAACATAGTCCATTCTGTCTCGTTACAACATGAGGTCAAAATATATACCAAAGTCTTTAGTGTCTGGATTGTTCATTAGCTCCTGGTTAAATTCTTTTAAAGCATTATTAAATTCATTTTCATCACACATTGACTGAAGAACTTTTAGTGATTTATATATAGTCCCTTGTTTTTCCTTGCTTGTCGGTCCAGTTATTTTGCAAATGTTTTGTCTCCAAGCTCTATCTACATGCCATGAACATAATAAACGATGGGGAACTGAGCCCGTTGTATTTTTCCCAAGCCGAATAAAACGTCTCAACTATATCAGTCATAAAAGTATCTGGACTAATTATACCTACTTTATCTTTTATAGCTTAAAACATAACTGTGTAGATTTTTGTATCCTTTAAATTTGTGAACATAAAACAACACGGAAATCCAGAACCAAAATCATCAACCACCAATAATGTAACCAATAAAAACCATAAGCATTAAGACCATGTGTACCATCAATACATACTATTTTTCCATGTCCAAATTGTGTGGACATAGGTATGCATCTGACTTGGGTCCATTAATATAATGCAAAAGTCTTTTAAGTCCAATATGTTGTTTCCATCTACTTCGCCTATATTATAATAAGTTAAAAAACTACTTTAATATTGTTTTCTCAAGTGGGGTTAATGTATATAATTTTTATATAATAAAATTAAATATATATTTTATTATAATAAGAAATATATAAATACATAAATTAATAATTATATAGTATGTATTAAAAATTAAAATAGTTAAATAAATTATTGTTATATTATTCACCTTTTTTTTTGTAATAAATAACTGGATTATTTTCCCCTTCTTGTTTTATCTGTTCTACCCAAATATCAACACTTGTGGCATCATTTTTGTGTAATTGACCATCCTGCATGGTGATATTGTACTTTTGTTTGATATTGTGCAAATCGGCTCGTGTAATAAGATCTTCTCTTTTTAAATTACCCTCTATATTGCCTCTAAAATCATCCAAAACTCTTTCCATCGTTACACCTTGTGATAATTTAGCCGTTATTTCATGCTTTTTGTAATTGGTAAACTAATAATTTGAAGTTCACTTTCTTGGTGGCCATAGTGATATTTATAAAATATTACATCACAACTACTTTTATTTAAATGTTCAAATAATATTATGTGACTTGTACAGTTAATATTAATTTTTTTACTTCCTTGTGATTTTATTGACCTTTTAGAACTTTCAATTTCTTTATGAACTCCTGTTCGATCACAATCATAATAACTTCTATGGCTATCTGACGCGGCTACGGTAGGTAGTCGGTAGGCCGGTCGGTGCTGGTGGTGGTTTTTTTTTTTGTGCACACGTCACGTTGCGCACAACTACGGTTGACTTAAATACTGTGAACGCCGATTGGTTCCGGTGGTATGTGCCGGGTGGGCGTTTTGCGTTTATTTACGAAAATAACGAAATACAAAGCGTACCCGTGGTCGGGTGACGAACAGCGGATCGCGTGTACAAAAAAACAATAAAACAACAAAACGGACTGACGCCGTGTGGCGTTTTTCAATACAACAGTTCAAATTATGAGTATGAAAAAAAAACGTGGTTCGGCGAACAAACGTAGAATGAGTTTTTAAAACAATATGAACAGAGACGGGCCAGGCCGTGCTGATGGTCAGAGAACGAGAGAGATGTCGTCGGCGGCCGTCACTCGTCCGGCGTGACTCGCTTCCCTGTCCCACCTTCTGCCTTTTGGCATGGTGGGGAAGTCGACAGTGTCGCGCCGTCGTAGCCCGTGGTGGCGGTTGGTAAGGTGCTGAAAGGTAGCTCCGACGTCTGTACTTTGTACTGAGCGTCGTTGCGTACCGTATCATACTCCCTCGCCAAACCGCCACACGCGGTACCTTTGTACCGGTGACTTGTCTGCGGTGTGGCTTGCGCTACCCCTTGCTTGTGCTTGGGGTAGGCTTGTCTTACCTGGGGCACTTTACTCTTTAGTTGGTGATGTGGCTGGTGTGTAGAATGGCGCTGGGTACACCATCTCCATATCCGGTAGCCCCTCCATCAACTGGCCTTGCCCTTCCAACCAAGCGTCGTCGGAGCTTGGGTCCGCGTCCGCCGCTTGTTGAGGTTGGGCATGGCCGGTTGACTCCACCTGCTCCTCGGACGTTTCGTCCTTGGCCGTAGGAGGGTCAACCTCCATCGTTGTCGGAGGTGTCAGTTTGGTCGGTGGGCAGCTGGCAGTGTAGAGGTCTGAGTTTGGTTGGGCGCGCTTGGCTAGCCTTTTTTTTTTACGGTATCGTGGGGGGCCGGAAATACCCGTTGAGGTAGTTCGCCAGCTCCCCCACATCGTTTATTGGTCACAAAATATTACAATATAATGTATATAAATTTAGACCACATTCGCAGTTCACACAAAATAACAGATAGCCCTACGCTATTAGAGTTTGGCCTTCGGCCTACAATAATTTGTCTTATCTAGGTTCGTTATGCTGCCTGCGGTCCGCGTTGGCGTTCTCTCTCTTCCTTCTCCCTCGATGATAGGACGAGGTTGATGAACTGGTTCACTGCCTCCCAGTTGCGCTTCGACTCCAGCATGGCTCCGATGGCAGATTGTGGAGTTAAGTTCCCGTCGATCTTCGTTTCCAACTCCCTCCTTTGTCGCACGAGAAGAAGGCGTGCTCTGGGTCATCCATCCCGGCTCCGCAGTCCACGCATTCAGTGCTCTCCGTTTTTTTAATTCTACACAGGTACTTCCCGAAGCACCCGTGACCGGAGCAAAATTGTGTGAGGTGGTGGTTCAGCTCGCCATGCTTCCTCGCTGTCCATCTGGATATATCTGGTATCAGTGCTCTAGACCATTGACCGGTGTCGCTGACGTCCCATCTCCTTTGTCATTGAGCTACGGTTGGGTATGCGGGCACGGCGCCAGTTACCACGTTTGTAATACTCCTCCTTCTCCTGTATTCTGTCTCACGTTCTCTGGCCAGCAAATCCGCCAGCGGGATGCCTGCTAGGACTTTTGTTGCAGCCTCGGAGACTGTCCTGTAGGCCCAGATCTTCCGGAGGAGTACCCTGCGCTGAGTCCTGTTGAGGAGCTTTACATTTCCATTAGTAAAGTCCAACGTGGGAGCCCATGACAGTACTGACTGCACGACGGACGCAAGAAGACATCGTCTGGCCTCGCGTGGGCCACCTACATTCGGCATGAGTCTCGCCAGGGTTGCTCCTACCCTGTCTGCCTTTCGCGCCGCCTCTGCTATGTGGGCCTTGAACAGACAAGACTTGTTGATGACAATACCGAGGTATGTCATCTTGTCTGGTTATCGGCGCACCGCAGACTTTGATGTTCGGAAAGGCATACTTATACCGACTGGTAAAAAGCACTGCCTCCGTCTTTTCTGCAGCAATATGAAGGCCAAGGTCCCCGATTCTTCTGGAAATTTTCTCGAGAGCCTGGTTAGCTCGTAGGTCAACACCCGCGACAGTCTCTGCTGCTACCACCACCAGCGTATCGTCGGCGAAGCCAAGCAGCAAACAGCCTTGAGGGAGTTCCTCTTTCAGCACCGTGTTGTAAGTAATATTCCATAACAGTGGACCCACGACTGACCCCTGCTGTGATGCGGACTTCGAATTTCCCACCTGACGAGGACGGTGATTCAATCGACCCGAACCTCTCCGAGAAGTAGGAATCGAACATGTTTGCCAGGTACCGTGGTGTTTCCCATCGGTGGAGAGCCTCCATTATATCTCTCCACTTCGCCGAGTTAAAGGCATTTTTTTATGTCGATGGACACAGTTAGGCAAAATTTCCCTCTGTTCCTCTCGATGACTATGATGGTGTGCAGTTTTCTGACGGCATCATCAGTTGATAGCCCGCTTCTGAAGCCATACTGGTTTTCTGCAAGGCCGCCCCGGCTCGTGACATGCGTCTCCAGCTTCCATGCGAGGAGGAATTCCAAAACCTTCCCCATGTCGTTAAGCAGGCAGAGTGGGCGGTATGATGACGGTACCCCTTCCGGCTTGCTGCCTTTCCGAAGTAGTACAACTCTGGACCTCTTCATTCTCTCCGGGAAGGTTCCGCTAAGGAGACAGCTGTTGTAAACATTCAGCAATAGGCTGGGATCACACCTATGGACTGCCCCTATGATGTTGGTTGAGATCCCGTCAGGCCCCGGGGCCTTCTTCCTGCACTTGAATGTAGCTATTGCGCTGTCCACTTCACTCTGCGTGAATACTCCCTCGACGACCTATTCCTCTCTCAGCTCCTCCTGCCTGTGATCGTGGCTGGGGAATAGTGTACTGATGACTGCTTCAAGTATTTCGGGCTCCATTGTGCTAGTAGCAGGGTACCCTCTTAGTTTACGCATGACTATTTTGTATGGTTTACCGAACGGGTCGTTGTCCACGGACTGGATGAGCTCCGCCCAGCAGGCTTTTTTGCTGCAAAGAATTGCATGCTTTAGCTGGCGCTTATCTTCGCGATAAGCGTCGTTCGTTCTAGTCAGCTCTGCCTCTGCGCGCTCGTTATCAAAGTCGACTGCTGCCTGCCTTCGTAGACGAGCGATCCGAGCTACCATCCTCGTTTTCCTGCGTTTGGTCCTCACACAGTTTGACCGGAGGAGGGAAATCTCAGCGTTCCACCAGTGGTCGGGGGGTTTCCCATGTCTGGGAGCACGTCGTTTCGGAATCTCGCAAGCCACGGTGATTCTCATCTCTAACTGTTGGGCTTCGGACGCTACATCGCGAGTTCCTTGGCAATCGTCTCACCATTTTGCCACCATCAAGCCACAGTGGAGGTTGTCTATATCGATGCCGCCCGACGTATTCCAGCCGCCAACTCCCTTGGGGGAGAAGGGCTGGTTTCTGTTTCGAGATGCATCCACGGAAAACTGTATATAGTGGTGGTCACTATAGTTGAACACGCCGTCCATGACCGTCCAGTTACCAAATCGGGACGCCAGCTGCTCCGACATTGCCGTTACGTCCACTGTAGATCCGGCTCCCCTGGTGAACGTAGGAGTCGACCCTTCGTTGGCTATGACGAGACCCAAGGAATCCAGTAGGGCGCTTAGGTCTTCTCCTCTTTGGCTGTCCACCTAGTCTCCCCAAGCAGCTGATCTTGCATTAAAATCTCCCGTCACCAGCACGGAAATACTGAGCGAGATCGCTCTGATGCTGTCTTCCAGTCTTTGTAAAAAGTTGTGGAAGTGGTCTTAAAATTAAATTATTTGTTGATTATGTAAAAATATTTAAATGGTTTTCTTTTGTATGCTTATCAGTTATCACACTGACCTCGGCCGCGGCACAGCAATACACAATTCATAGTCGCAGTCACAATTCACAAATCAGTTATCACTATTTATTAGATAGTCACTCCCAATATAATAATATTATATTTATATTATCTACTGACCACGAGGCATGAATGCAATGCACTACTGACTAATGAGTTATGACTACAGTCTACAATACCTTCTACAAGTTCTTAATTCATTATGTATGGTTCTGGTAAATGTAAAGGAGGCGAGGAAAAATCTCGAGAAAATAATATTATTATTGAATTCTGGTGAGTTTGTGATAAATGTTTTCAAAATAAAAACGCACAAACAGACAAGAATTAGATATGACCAATGAACATTGAACACTATAACTTCAAAGATCGATGACATTTCAAATATGCCTGAAAATATATTAGGTAGGTACCCAAGGTACAGTTTTTATATTTGTCTAGTTTAACAATATGTACCTACTTATAATTAATACACGATTATCATTTTGAATACTTATTTACTTATTACTATATTTTGAGGGCTTGCTCCAATTTCCAATTAAGCGCCAATCAGTACCTACAGTCCTTTTCACGAAAAGTGGCCCTCGACGTTAGCGCGCCTGGTGGACGTTTTGACGCAGGGGCTCTAAAACACGCGCGAAACCGGGTAGAGGTAGAGCTACCGGCTCTCTAGCGGACAATATTAAGAACCACTGGCTTTCAGAAATACCGTCACCAGGCGCGCTAACGTCGAGGGCCACTTTTCGTGAAAAGGACTGTAGATAATCTAATCATAAAAAACCATGCATAATTATTAGTCATTAGGTAGGTAGGTATAATAAAAATCAGGAAATTACACAAAACAAATATATTTAAAATGTTTTAATGGTTTTTAATTTTTTAATTTTTACATATAATAAATATTAAAAACATTAAATAACTAAATCGTTATTCATATTTAACAATTTTACAAATTAATAGTAATATAATATCATAAATCATATAACAAGTAACTTAGTATTTTATAATATTTAGGTACAATTAAAAGCTTAAAATTAAATTGATTTATATAAGTTTTTCCATTTGGGTTTATAGTGAAAGGTACTTGGGAACTGTTCTATTAAATTACTTAGATTCACACACCCCATGATGTGGTGGTCCATTTTTACCTCAAAAGCTTGTACATGTTCATCATATTTAACAGTGGTAAATTTATTGTAAATTAAATAAGGATAATCATTATCAGGTAAAAAGCATATGAATTTAATGAGAACAAATAAAGGCATATCGGATATGTCAAGTATTAGAGTCATGTTTTTAAAAGAATATTTAATATTTTTCACTTCTACCCATGATACAAATTTTGCAGAAGTGAAATCATCAATGTTTGGATTGTCAATTAAGTCATTTTTAACATCATTAATTGTGTCATTTGAAATATTTATTACATTACCATAATGAATTTCAGATGACAAAATGTTTTGTGAAATAATTCTGTAGGCAAGTTTAAGTTTAAGTTTTTAAAGTATAAGTTATAACATATATTTTTCCTACTAGTAATTGATGTTGCTGTCATTTTTGATTCTCTGTGCTTGGACTCGAATCGCATTGACCATATATGACATAATGGCCCAATTTTTTTCATTATATCTGGATAATGCACTAAATGATGGTGTTTTGGTTTCAAATTAGTTTTAAATAATTGAAGGTATAATTCATGATGTTCTGTAATTAGTGTATTTAGTAAAATAGGACACTCTTTTGAAATATTTTTTTGCTGTAATAATATCAATAATTTGTTTTAAAATTATGTAAATTGTCCAAAGTTCAGAATTTTTTTGTACTAAATCACCTATCATTAGACCCAAGTGTCTAGTAAAGCAAAGCATCTCAGTTGCTGACATTTTAATTTTATTAGTTTTTAAAAAGTCAACTGATAATAATGGAGGGTCGGTTTTTATTTTCAATAGGACCATAGTTAAAACACTGAATTCTGTTATTTAATGTATCCAGTGAAAAGTATTTAAAGTTTAAAATAAAATTGTTTAATAAAGGAGCTAAATCATAATTACACACACCTTCCAGAACATTATGCATAATATCAACTGAATAAATTTGTGTTACATGGAAAGAAGATATTTGGTTCCAAACACAAATGTATTTAATACCAGTTAATGATATGTTATTAATGTTTATATCTGAATTGTAATTTTCCTCATTTCTTAATTTATTGTTATCTTGTAAAGTTTGAAAATTACTTTCATTTTTTGAACATTTGCAAAATCTGCAAGGGTAATTTGCCATAAAAGACTCTGAAAACCCTAAAATTGCAACAATAAGTTATCTCTAATAATCAAAGACAAACTAAAATAAACAATTTGACTTTTATTGTCTATCAATAAATTTATACCTTCATTTCCTAAAGAATTAATATCTGAAATTTATTGCTTAAATGTCATTTTATTTAAAAATTGTTTACGATCTAATGAATTAAATAATAGTGCAAGAAAAATATTATTTAATGAAGAACTAAATTCTGGTGATAAACATGGGGTGAAAGAAATGTACACAGCTCCTAACTTTTTTATACCGGCATGTGTCCCCAAAGGGTTATTTGTCTCGTAGTCATCGAAATACCAAAAATATGGTATTATAATTTTATTAGGTTGATTTACTATTTTTTTTTTTTGCCAAATTTCACTTTGAGCAAAACTATTTATTATATTTTTTTATTAGTATAAAGTTCATTTAAGTAAGAAGTAACTGTTTTGTATACATTTTTTTGTTCAAAAAATAATTTAAATAATTTATTTAGTGGTGGTATAGAATAAGTATTAACTTCTACAGATTTCATGATTTTGTTACCTATTGTCTTTTACCTCATCTACTAATATATTGCCAATTGGATTTTCGTTAGGTCGAATAAAAACACCCATTTCTTCTAGTATATTAAAACGCTTATGTTCGGACTTTAGATTATTAAATTGATTATTTACAGCATCAAACATTGATGATATATTTAATATAGAATCACTAACACAACTACACTTTTTCAGATTTAAAAGTACTTCATTTTTTAAAATATTCATATAGCTCTCATTCATTAAATTGATGTCATTTATTAAAGACTGAACCTTATTCCTTGGTATTATCGACTCATTATACCATTTTGATACAAATTTAATTGTTTCAAAAGATATTTTTTTTTTAAAATTCATCCAAAACATTTTCATAACTTTGAGGACCCAAATCATTTTCACTGCTATTATTTAAGAGTACATTATTACACTCTTACACTCATTCATTTCAGGGGAGGTATTTAAATTATGTTCTGCAACGTTAGTATTTATAAAAATATTGAAGTGGCTTTTTATATGTTTGCCATATGAGTTCATAGAACCAAATATTCTACCACATCTTCGACACATATAAATTCTGTTACATTATCAAAAGAATGAAATAGCTTAAAATTTTTTATAAAATCTAAATATGTAGAGTTCAGTTGAACAAATAAAGTATCTCATGTTGTTGGATATATGTTGAATTATAATAAATATATTGCTTAAATTAAGTAATAATAATGATAAAGTACAAAAAAAAAATATAATTGTAAGTTGTAGAAATATGTACTTGTATGTAGAAATAGAAAATAATACAAATTTTATTATACAACTATTAATAGATATTAATTATAAACATAGTTTTTTATCTAGGTACCTATCTAGTTCATATTATTTATTTAAAGTTATAATAAGATTTGAAACAAATTGATAATTTGTATCAAACTTTGTATTAATTTAAAAAAATATTGTTGTATGAATTGCCAAATTTGTCCACTTTCTGTAGGGTAATCGAGATGTAGAGCAAAAAATGATTTAAAACATACATCAACTGCTTTAAGAGCACTCTCTAATTTGAAAAAATTGTGGTTTTTCACAACATAAAACAACGATACTTCCAATCCGTCTTGGAAACTGAGTCCTGGACCGACAAACACAATGTATGGCTGCACTGTCTGCTTAATTGACTTATTTTTTTCCCACTTTGCGTCATCTACTTCACGTAGTTGTGAAACATCCTGAAAAATTATAAACATCTACTTGTTTAAAAATGAGTTTACTTATTTAATTTTATGAAATTACACATTTTATAGTACCTAGGTAGGTACATTAATTATTGAAAATGTTTCTTACATTTAAGTAATTGATGAACCCTTGTTGAATTTCCAACTTTGATGGACGCCAGTTCTTTTTTGGGAAGTTATCAATTGTTACCTTAAATTGTTAAATTTATAAAATAAAAATTAATTATAAATTATAAGTATTTATTTTAAATATTACATTTGATCGTTTAAAGTCTTCTTTGGATATGGTCGTAGCAAATACGATTTTAAAGGAAAAGCTTCATCCCCACAAAAATAATATGGAAAATTGGGACCTTCGTTGTCGTATGGTAAAGGTTCTGATTGTGAAATGTTCATTCCTCTAATTCAAGGCCACGGCCCTCCCCGCTAATTTAGCTAATACCTAATTTTTATTGCATTTATTTGCATTTTATATAGCAGGCTTGGAGGGTGATAAGGAGGACTGATAACTGATAAGGTGACACAAAATTTTCAATATCACTATAGGTATTCGGTACTTGGTTTATTTGTTTTAATCATGGTTGTAGGTCCATATCATATCAACTCTATGGTCCATATATGGTTTTAATTTATAACGTCATAGTGATAACTGCTTGTAATTATTTGCCTTAAAATAATTTGCAAAATATTCTGCAACCATAGAACCTGTTACAAACGTTTTACAGGGAGTTGATTGTGATGTACTAAATGCTAATGAACATAATAAAAAACTCATAAGACATATTACTAATGATAGATTTAAGAGTGATGACATTTTTCTGAGCTTAATGGATGATGTAAATAAATACTTAATTGAACTTGGCATTGAATTAAAAACTCCAAGAATGGCGTCAAAACAAACACTGAGAAATAATACCCCTTTATCTGATCCGGTAGATTACTACAGAAAATCTATTTTCATTCCATACTTGAATTCATTAACTACTTCATTAAACAATAGATTTGCAGAAGATTTTGAAAAATTTGAATTTTTCTCAATCATCCAAAATATGTGAAAAGTATAAAAAAAGAAGAATTTATCACTAAATTAAAAAATATTAAGTCATTTTATGGAGATTTGGTAGATAATATATTAGAAGAAGGTCTTATTTGGTACAGTCACTGGAGTGAAAAAGAAATTAAAGATAACAAAGATTTTCTTGAACTTTTAGATGAACAACATTTTTCCCATCAATAAAAAATTGTATTTTAATAGCAATAACCCTTCCATCAACTACTTGTAGTGTTGAAAGGTCATTTAGATATGTATAATTTATTAATCTGCTTTTATAGTGCTTCTTCTTAGACATTTTTGTTTTTGCTTTATATTATAGCTCACTTAAAAAATTGAAAACGTGGCTTCGCAGTAGTATGACACAACTGCGCTTGAATGGCTTAGCACTTATGTACATTCATAGTGATATTTTAAAAAGTTAACAATCTGACATTGTTGAAGATACTATTAAGCTTTTCTGCATGGAACCACGGCGTTCAATTTTTATTTGACGATAATGATCAATGAGTCATGAATTATCTATTATTAATAATTTTTTTCATTTTTTATTATACAGGCTTATTTATAACAACAACATAATATTATACATTTATATATAATATATATATATATGTATATACTATATTATAATAAATAAATAATTTCTTTTTACGATGTGATATAAAAAACAGAATTTATGGTAAGTGTATTATTTTTTCGCTGCCCCCCCCCCCCCCCCGAGAAAAATTTCTCCGGGCGGCCTAACTCCAATTTCTAACAATCTACCCAAACGAGACAATCTAAATACACTCCCATCACTATTTCTACCCAAATCACCAATATCCACAGTAATAAAACAGCCGTCTGCGTCTGCACAAGCAAGTAGTTGTATTGAAAAAAAACCTTTATAATTAAAATTTCTTGATCCTGTGTTATTGAATTTTTTTATGCGTAGGTATGTGTTTGCCATCGATTGAGCCCAAACAATGAGGTAGTTGCCATAAGAGATCATAACGTGCAGCAATATTTTTCCATAATTCTAAACTTGGTACTGGTAAATATTTAGGTTGTAGACACTCCCAAATAGCTTCTGTCGTGTCTGCAATTATTTTACCAACAGTTGTCTCTCCTCTCATAAAATGTTGAGCCAATGCTCTAAAATTACACCCAGTGGCTAAAATTCTGAAATAATATTTTTTTAATAGACTAATTCAATATTTTAATATTTTTTAATAATCTAGTTTCAATTATCAGAGGCATTTTTAAAAATATTTCCCACATCCTCCGCTATGGGGGATACGTCCAAATAATAAACCAATCGTAACGAGTTTTATTTTTGGGTGTACATCTGACATGAGATTAAGAAAATTACTTATTTTGAAAATATGTCAAATAGCGCTACAATTAAAATTTATACAAAAAATTATAAATGTGAATCATAAAATAAATTATTTAAATAATTAATTCTAAAAATGTTTAATGGTCGATATTAATTAATAATGTATACATTTGTTTAGTTATAAACTGTAAAGAGACGTGGAGGACTTTACGGATTGTATTTACAAGAAATATTACCAAAAAAAGTGAATCAGCTGCAAAAAAAAAAATATTACCTTACAGACAAGATGTAGTTTATAAGACCTTATCTGAACTTGAAAAAAGGAAATTCACTACCGGGAAATTTACCTTCTCCTACACATGACAATGACAACGAGCAAGGCGCATCATATTATCAAGACAACTACAATAATACAGATTTATGCAATAACATAACAATAACTGAAGAAATTCCTTCAATAAGTACAAATAATATTGTAGAAAATAAAGTCGTTGGCATTGAACCGCCCTTGAAAAAGAGTTACTACTTCAGAGTTCAGAGGAAAATACAAAAAATTATTTTTGTTAAGTTTACTTCCAGATTTGAATGAAATGAATTATTCACAATTTAGAGCATTTCGTACTCAGGTGAATGTTTTGATTGATGATATTTTAAAAACTACACAGGATACTAGTCATGGTAACAACACAAGCTTGTGCTCTAAACCACTTAGTTCATGGTTTAATGAATACTCATCAGGACTTGATTATGTACCATGGAATCAAACTTCATCATCAGAAACAACATTGACAAACAATTTGACTAACGTGAACAATTCGAATACGATGAATCAAGGATACTACATGTATGATGCCTGAATGATGTATACAGTATCATTTTTTTATACATATATTTATAAAACTGACAAAACATAGGTACTTAAAACATACTTATATACTTATATTTAAATACTTGTTGTGTATTTTTTTTTAATAATTATGTTATAATAAAAAATTAAAATTAAAATTAAATTATAATATAGAAATTACTTTTCAAACAATAAATTAGTTGTAATGTATGTAATTACCGTAATGTAAGTAAAATTCTTTCTTCTACTGGTACTGCAATCCTGAAGTTTGTATCTTTTTTGAAGATTTTTGGCCCAACTATATGTACTAAATTATCAAAATTACATTTACTCATGCGGTAAAATGTTTTAAATTTATCTGGATCGCTATGTAATTCATTTGCAACAACACTAGTACTAGAACATATATTAGATAAATTTATCGGATGCACCCAATAACGACGTTTTTTTGAAATTTTTTTTTGACGTGCCCACCACCAAAGCAAAATTACGTCGTCTTCGTCAGACGACATTTTGAAAACTAATCATATTTCGTTTATTCTACAGTTTCATTGTTTAAATTTCTTCAATATACAGATCAACGTGAAACTAGTTTCTGAAACCGATTGCATATAAAAAGTTTCGTGTTTATAATTTATCTGGTGTGCGGGCCGCCTAAGGAACAAATTTAATATTCAAACTGAAAGAAAAAGTTTCTAAATTTGATTGTTTTTCTATCGCAATTGACGAAAGTACTGATGTTTGTGATACTGCTCAGTTATTAATATTTATTCGAGGAATTGATTTTAATTTTAATATTTCTGAAGAATTAGCTGAATTATGTAGTTTGAAGCAAGCGCGGATTCAGGGGGGGGGGGGGCTATAGGTGCTTGGGCACCCCATGTCGCTTTGGCCACCAACAAAATAAATTTATATTATAAATTATGTTATTTCTTATTTTTCAAAATAATAATAATAATAATAAATAATATCGGTTATTCCGTTATCGTCGTCACATACGACGGTAATAACTATTAGTTGTTATCTTATATACCTACTCGTATGAAACTCAGCGGAAAGCACATACATAAGATAGAAGTTAAAAATCCTCGAACGTGTTCAAAACAAATTAATCGCGAAAATATATTGACCAACGACCCAAAAGAATATTTTCGTTTGACCTTATACCTACCATTTTTGGATTATTTAATATCAGATATCAAAAATAGATTTGTAGGTCACGGACATGAAACGATTATGTATTTACAATACTTAATACCATTTTTCCTACGTGAAGATACAGATATCGAAAAAATTATTGAATCGGCCAAATTTTATATCGATGATCTAATTGGCTCGATTGAAGAGGTTAGAGGTGGAGTTACTTTGTGGAAACAATTTTGGAAATCCCAATTAGATAAACCTAAAACTGCTATAGAAGCTTTGACTCATGCATCTGAATTTTATCCTAATATAAAGGAATTGCTAAAAATTATTTGCGTTATACCAGTTACCACTTGCACCGCAGAAAGAACATTTTCCTCACTTCGACGAACAAAAACATACTTAAGATCAACAATAGGAGAGGATAGATTAAATGGACTTATGCTTCTTAATATTCATAGGGATATTAAAATTACTCCAGAGGAAGTTATTGAAGAATTCAGTACAAAAACATTTAAGAAAATTACAGTTACAATATATGTAAGATATTTTTGTTATTTTTAAGTTTATATTTCATAAATACTGATATATTAAAAAAAGTTAGCACTAATAAATCAAATAGAAAATATTAATTTAAATAAATAGAAAGGTGTAACATTTTTTTTTTTGAGCACCCCCTGTCAAAATGTTCTGGATCCGCGCCTGGTTTGAAGGGAACTACAACGGGAGAAGACTTATTTATCGAAATTGACAAAACATTTAGAAAACTTGATTTAAGTTGGAACAAACTAGTTAGTGTTATTATAGACGGTGGTAGAAATATGAGTGGAATTAATAAAGGATTAATTGGGAGAATAAATGCGAAAATGGTGGAAGAAAGACATGAAGCACCTATGATATTTCATTGCATCATACATCAAGAGGCATTATGTTGCAAAGTTTTAGCATGGAAAGATGTAATGAATATTGTAGTATCGACGGTTAACTACATACGCAAAAATGCTTTGGCACATCGTCAATTTAAAATATTTTTGGAAGAATGCGATGCTGAATATGGGGATGTAATATATTTTTCCGAAGTAAGGTGGTTTTGAAACGGTTTTTTATTTTATGAAATGAAATAAATATTTTTATGTCAGAAAAATGTAAAAATGTACCAGAATTATCAAATGAAAAGTGGGTTCTTAATCTGGCATTTTTAACTGATATAACAACTTTATTGAATGAACTGAATACGAAACTGCAAGGTAAAGACAAATTGTTGTCAGATATGTATTCAAATATAAAATCATTTCAAGTGAAATTAAAATTATTACACAAACATATTAATGAACAGCACTTGGGTCATTTCGTATGTTGTAAAATTGTATTAAAATCAACCAAATAAACTTTAAATTGGGAAACTACAAAAATTAATTTTTTAAATATAATTGAAAACCTACAAAATTAATTTTCAATACGATTTTCTGATTTTTACTTACAAGAGAATAGAATAAAATAATTTCAAAACCCCTTTTCTGTCGACATTGACGATGTTGAATCTAATTTACAGATGGAAGTCATAGAATTGCAAAACAACGATATTCTTAAAAATGCTTTTAAAGAAAGTAATGACCTAAAAATATTTTATTCAAGTCTTTCTGAAATAGATTTTAAAGGCGTTAAAAGTTTTTCTAAAAAAATGATTACTGCTTTTGGTAGCACATATATTTGTGAGCAGACATTCTCAATACTTAAATTCCGAAAAAAAAATATTGTTCACGATTAAGCGATGAACACTTGAATGCTGTTTTAAGGATATCAACATCCAATATAAAAGCGGATATAAGTGAATTGGCGGGAAAAATTCAACCTCAAAAATCACACTATTAACTTAATATTTGTATACTAAAATGCATTCAAGAACTAATTAATAATTATTTTTAAACTTTTAAATTTTCTCTACTAATGTATTTAATTAAAAATTAGTTAATAAGGACAACTGCAATGTTAAACTCATAATATGTTTGTTGCTATCTGTAAATATATTAGTATTATTTGTTAAAATTATATTTTTTATTATTTTAATTTTGTATGCGGCCCTTCATTAAAAACTGAAACAAATTATGGCCCGTGTAGGTAAAAAGGTTGCCGACCCCTGATTTAAATGATTAATTAATAATACTTTTTTAGAAAATGTTAGATTAGGACAAGAAATGCATTTAGACAATTTTTGTTTTACTTCATTTGTTATATCATGTTTATTTTTCAAATGTTTTGTTAGTGTAAACTTGTTAGGAAATTGATTTTTGCAAATATCACAATTAAAATCCATTTTTTATTGTATTTAGAATAATTAAAAGCAAATATTATGTTTCAACAAAAAAAAACACACCATGAAAATGTTTAAGTATATCAAACTGTTTATCTGTCATCAACAGCAATAACTATATATGCTGAGATGGCTTTTAATAATGTTTATTTATATTTACATTTTACCCAATTACCTATTTAAACACTTCATAAACCAGACTTCATCAACATTTATTACCAAAAGGCTATTTATTAAAATATATCTTATTGAGTATTAACAATACAATTCACAGATATCTTAAACATAAAAATTCAATATTTTCTATATACCAATATAAATGACATACCTAATCATAATAGTAAATACTTAAACTACCTACATAAAGTATAGGTAACCATAATTCAAGTTGTTGAGCTGTTGGATTTCATATTAAAAGGACATCACACAGGAATTTGTTGATATTTTTACATTTTATGACAAACTGTAAATAATAATAACACTCAAATTATTATTATTATATTATATTATTTATTTAACACGTAATGCTTACAATTGATGCCATTTGATGTTTTTAAGAATCTCAGCAGTGAGCTTAACAATTAAATGACAAACTGTAAGTCATTATAACACTTTAATTATTATTATTATATTATATTATATTATTTATATAACACGTAATACTCACAATAATATTTCTACAGATGTTTGCAAGACGAAGACTACTCAACTCAGTTTAGAAAATTATTAACTTTTCAAATGTATCTGATATGTATAATGAATTATTTGGTAAAAATATGCCTTAAATCATTTTTAATAATTGATAACAGCCCAACATGAATACATGTTAGTGGAGAATAAATTACTCGCATGCGCAAAATGAATAAGGTGCATTCCTGTGTTTAGACGCTCCGCACCGTGACTAAATAAACAGGCATGTCAGCTAAAATTTCATTTTCGCTATCATTACGCATGTGTCCCAGTCATGGCATAAACGTTATCAGATACATGGAGTGGAAAGTAATACACAATGATATTATCAATTATTACCTATTCAAAATTTCATAATTATAATATACTATTATAACACTTATTAATTAATTACATTTTATATTTTAATTTTTTATAGTCAGTTAGTATTTATTATTTAGTATGATAATTAGTTATAGAATAAATTGTTTTAGGTATATAAAAATGATATTCCAATCCTCAATAGTCAATAGTTTTATTAATTTCATTAATTTCATTGTTCATTCTATACATTTTTTAATTTTTTTGTTATTGTAAAATACTGTTTTTTTTTTGTTCTTTTTTATTTAATTCTCGCAGACAAATATACAAGCGAGCAGGAATAAGGCATTCAATCACTTTAGGAGGAATGCAGTCTTTTGGAATATATTGTTAAACAATTTTTTTACTATTCTAGTCTGTGTACCAAAACCTTCATCAAATTCACTTTCAAGTATATTGGCCACATTGATCAAATCTTGTGTTGGGCGTGTAAGATATCCTATAACCATTGAATATACTTAAATTATGAATTTTCCTGAATTGGCTGATATTTATAATTCAACATTTAACTACCTTTTGAAATGTATGATATCCAACCATCTTTTTTTTCTACAGGACATTAGGTCTCATCTTCCAAATATGGATACTTTGATTTGTACTTTCTTGCAACTTATCCCGCTATGTACTTCAAGTTTTCTTCAGTTGAATCATTGAAATTATGGTTAAATAATTCTACGGCACTTAACTAAAAATCAAATATATAAAATATGATATTATTTAGTAAGTAGGTAATCAATGGCTTTTTAACAATCTTACCTCTAACTCAAATGAATTTAATAATTTAGTGCTATGATCATCAATTGTTAAATTGTTATTATAATCTTCTTTGCCAAATACTCTGGAATCTTCAATAACAGCAGCCGTCAGTATACACTCATATACTTCAACAATATCACTTAAACTCAACAAACTTTTTTCATTAGCACTTTCTTCTGTGTTGCGGTTAGTTGTGAATACCGATGATGAGTGTTTGCCCAGTATATACCATCTTAATCTTAGTATGCAAAA